TTTAAGATTTATTATGTATACAGTGTTCTGCCTGCAGACCAGAAGAGGGCACCAGATCTCATTACAGATGGTTGTGAGCTACCATGTGGTTGCTGGGAAAAGAACTCAGGACCTCTGGAAAAACAGTCAAGTGCTCTTAACCTCTGAGCCATCTTTCCAGCCCTCTTTTTTTTTGTTTTGTTTTGTTTTGTTTTGTTTTGTTTTTTCGAGACAGGGTTTCTCTGTATGATTTTTCCTTCCTTAGGATGGTTCTTTTTTCATTATCCTCAGCTGCCTTGGAGAATGCTCTCACAAACTCAGAAATTCTCCGTTCAGTTCTCAGTCCGGCCTCCCCGCACTCTTATTGCCCAATTGATCGTTATAAATTATAGATCTAGTTACTCCCTGGTATGAAGCTTCCTCCGCAACCTACTATATCCAGAATAAAATCCAAACAGCATGAACCGAAATATTTCCAGCCACACCTAAGTGTGCAATTTCTCACACCACGTTTTTGCACCTTGTTACTCAGAAGTGGAAGCAGCTTGACATCACCTGGTTTCTTGTCAGAAATGAAGACTCACCACCGGGGGAGGGGATTAGCTCACTTGACAGAGTGCTAAGCACCACATAAAACCAGCTTTCAGGGCTGAGGAGATGGCTCAGAGGTTAAGAGCACTGGCTGCTCCTTCAGAGGTCCTGAGTTCAATTCCCAGCAACCACATGGTGGCTCACAACCATCTATAATGAGGTAAGACGCCCTCTTCTGGCCTATAGAGGTATATGCAGACAGAATACTGTATGTGTGTATATATATATTTTTTAAAAAGACAGTGATTATTTTTTAAAAAGTGGCTTTCATGTAATCTCAGCACTCAAGAAGTAGAGGCAAGAAGATCAGAAGTTCAAGACCATCCTCCTCAGCTACATAGTGAGTCTGAAGCCACCCTGGGCTACATGAAGCCCTGGCTTTAAGAGAAAGAAAAAAAAGATACCCATCTCAAACCTACTGAGTTAGTATCTGCATCTTCCAGTACACAAAGGATTCCCAGAAACATTCAAGTTCAAGACAGGCTGAATTAATACACACATGTACTATTTGTTCTGCCTGAAATGCCTTGTCCTCATCCCTCTTCCATTGCCTACCACCTCTAGGAAGCCGGTCCTGATTCCTGATTCCTCCACTCTGGAGTTGGTGCCCACTTTCATTTCTTTTTGCCATCCCCCCGCCAAGACAGGATTTTTCTGTGTAACAGTCATGGCTGTCCTGGAACTCACTCTGTAGACCAGGCTGTCCTGGAACTCACTGAGATCTGCCTGCCTTCCAAGTGCTGGGATTAAAGGCGTGTGCACCACCACCACTCAGTTAAAATACAATTCATTATTTTGTTTTTGTTTTTTTTGAGACAGGTTTTCTCTGTATAGTCTTTGAAGCCTGTCCTGAGACCCGCTCTGTAGACCAGGCTGGCCTCGGATTTAACAGAGACTGCCTGCCTCTGCCTCCCGAGTGCTGGAATTAAAGATGTGAGCCACCTCTGTCTGGCCCACTTCCATTTCTTGTACCTGCCTCTGGCATCCACTTGGCCATAGCTATTATCTGGAGGGTGCTCAGTGAGAATTGATGAATGGACGGATGGAACAAGTGGCTTCCCTCCATGGGTGACTCAAAACGGAGTGAGGAAGAGTCTTCTAGAAGATATGAGAGTATTTCTGCGTCTATCCCCACCCTACCTCTGCCATCCAAACTGACCAAGGAAGGCTTCTCTTGTTCCGAATCTCCAGGAACCGTGAGCAGTCACCCCCGCCCCCTTTATCCAGAGGGCCCTTCGTCAGCTTTTGCTCGCTCTTTCTCAGTTCCACCAATACAGAACCGTGTGTCTGAGACCAGCCAGTCTCATGACCTAGACATCACTATCTGGGTCAAGAAGCTGTTCTTGGCATAGCATCAAAACCATTCAGCTCCCTTCCTTTCCTTGAGACATTTCTTCTCCTCTTACCTCCCTCCCACCACTCACTAGCAGGCCGCAGGTGTGACCCCCCTAGTGCACTATTTTGCTCACTCTCCTCCAGGTTTCACACTCTTGATGAACTCGAGACTGTCCGCCTGGATCGGGAAGGGATTACCACAATCAGCAATTTAGAGGGCCTCCGGAATATTCACAGCCTCTACCTGCAATTGGTAAAGTCTTGCTCCCATGCCTCCTGTCCTCTCCCTAGTGTGTTTGAAAACTGCTGAACGGTTTATATCTTTGCATTTCTGGTGTTAGGTGAGTGGAACATTTCCAAAGGAATCAGGAATCATCCTGAATTGAAAGACTTATTTCTGACCCAGTGGTGGTGGCATATGCCATTAATTCCAGCACTTGGAAGGCAGAGGCAGGCGGATCTCTGTGAGTTCAAGGCCAGCCTGGTCTACAAAGCAAGTTCCAGGACAGCCAGGGCTACACAGTGAAACCCTGTTTTGAAAAACAAACAAACAAACAAACACCCCAAACAAACCAAAATTTCCTACCCCAACCCCACCAAGAGCTCCTGAACATGCTGGAGTCACCACTCTTGAGTACTCAAGAGGCTAAAGTGGAAGGATCTCAAGACTGAGGTCAGCCTGGGCTACATAAGAAGTTCCACATTCTCTCTCTCTCTCTCTCTCTCTCTCTCTCTCTCTCTCTCTCTNCTCTCTCTCTCTCTCTCTCTCTCTCTCTCTCTCTCTCTCTCTCTCTCTCTCTCTCTCACACACACACACACACACACACACACACACACACGCATGCAAATAAATAAGCATCATTAAAAATGTTCAAATAATAAAAAAATGTTCAAATAAGTGCTCATTTACTGTTTTGATAAAAAAGATTTTCCTGTATCCTATGTCCCCCAGATGTTTGGGAGGCTGTGCAGGGGTGGCTGGGTCATCTTCAGCTTTTCCTATGATGAACAGAGCCAAAGCCCTTCAAGTTCTATGCAAAACCTGTGAGCCAAGGTGGGGAAAACAAGTTTAAGGTTAGCTGGGTGGGGAATCCTTTTAAGGGGATGAAGCCCTAAGACCATGCCTAGTCTCAGCTGCAGCCACTCCGCTTTGAGAATGACCACTTAGCCTGACCGTGGCTAGATGCCATTACCTGGGGAAGGTGATTTCTTTTCTCTGGTCAGTGGCTAATGGGTGAACTTGGAGCTAGTCCAATGAGCAGAACCAAAGGACTAGAGGAGACTCAAGAGAAGGAAATCAAGTGGCCAGTAGAGAAATGGAAGAGGCCTCCTTGGTGGCAGTAGAGAAATGGAACCCCACCTTGGTTTCATCCCACAGAATAAGATCCAGCGGATTGAGAACCTGGCATGCATCACCTCCCTGCGGTATGTGGCACCGAGACAGCAAAGGAGTAAGGCGTTGGGTGGTGAGAAACCGGCTACTCCCCTAGAACTGTCTGGGGGCTCTCCAAGCCTGGCTCTCTGTCAGCTGAGACGGCTGGCTCTGCTCTCCTCACCCCACCCTGTGCCCCCACTTGTCGGCCAGCTGCCTACACAGGGGAGCCCTCCCTCCTCCAGCAGTCTTTCCTCCCTCTTCCCCTGCAGCTTCCTGTCTCTGGCAGGAAACCAAATCAGGCAGGTGGAAAACCTCCTTGACCTCCAGTACCTCCAGTTTCTGGACCTTTCTGAGAACCTGATAGAGGTCCTAAAGCTAGGTAGGAGCGCCACGCATGCCCTGGCTCATGGAGTGGGTCCCAAGTGGCGTCCTTCCTCCTCTTGGCTCCAAGCTCCTTGTGGTTTTGCTTCTCTCCCTGGTGGTGGTGGTGGGGGGGTGGCAGAGCGGGCATGAGCTCTTTCTTTCTACTGCACAGACGAGTTCCCCCAGAGCCTTCTCATCCTCAACCTGTGTGGAAACCCCTGCACCACCCAGGATGGCTACAGGTGAGGAGGGTAGGGGTAAAGAAGTGCTAGATGAGCCCCGCCCACTGCTCCTCAGGGAAGCCACTCTCCACCTGCCTCCTTCATGTATCCCCTGGGCCCTCTGCCCCTACACTGATCTGTCCCTTTCTATCCAGCACCTCACAAGCCTTTTGCTCTTTGGGTTGACCCCAGGTCCATCCCCTAGTCTCGGGGTCATACCCACCCAGGTATGGGCACTGAAGCACAAGTCACTGTATCGTCCCAGGCTCTACACCACGCATGACCACGTGGGTGACCTCTGCTCCTTCCGCCTTACAGGAAGACGGTGATAGAAGCCCTGCCACTGCTCTTGGACCTGGACAAGCAGCCTATAATTGAGCGCTGGACCTCCGATGAAGAGGATAAATCCTCGGATGAGGAGGAGGAATTTCCGGAGCTGAATGGCCCGTTCTGCACAGAGCGAGGTGATTATTTCCAGGCTTGTGGCCTCCCCAGGCTCGCATTGCCCTAGGAGAGGGGTAATGGCACCGGCACTGTCCTAGAAAGCTAGGTCTGCCATGATCTCTCCAGCTCTGCAGTCGCCACTACTCCAGGCCCTTCATGTTCCCGAGTGCCAGTCAGGACAGTGGAAGGCGACATCTGCCCAGCGTGGCTCAGGGGTTACTTGCTCACTTTCCATCAGCCACAGGGCCACCTGCTACTCATGACGGAGTGAGTGTCTATGGCCTCCTCTGTCTGGAATTGGCAGGATCTAATCCGAGGATGCAGGGTCCCATCTCTTCCCAGCGCCAGCCTGATACTTTTTCTACTAGGAATGCCAGGAGGTTGACCAAAGACATACCTGAGCCCAAGGCCCTCCTGCCGAGCTCAGGGCTCTGCTTTTCCTCCCCCAGGGTTCTTCAAGGACTTGGAGCAGGAACTGAAGCAGCATCGGGAGCGAAGGCAGCAGGAGGTCCTGGCAGAGCACTTGTCCAGGATGGAGACTCAGCCTGTCCTCACTGACCTGCCAATCCTGCCGGCAGTGCCCATGGCTGGGGACGGCAGCCCTGCTGTTACTGTGCAGCCCAAGAAAGAGTTGGCCCCTAAGGCCGCCTCCTCAACCGAGACCACCTCTTCTACCACGAAACCAGTGCCCAGGAGTCACAAAAGCTCTGTCCGGGCGAGGAAGAAGGCGCCAGCAGCCACAGCCACAGCCAAGACCTCTCTGGCTGCAGCCCCCAGTAAGACAAAAACTATACCCAGAAGAAACACCAAGTAGCGCACAGCCTCTGTGCACTTGCCCTCCTTCCCGGGCCCTTCCCTCACTAGTGGCAGGAGCCCCAGCTTCCAATAAAGCATCTTAGGGCTTAGAATGCTTTCCATGTCACGTGGAGTAAGTCAAGGAAAGGAACGAAAACCAGATGTCAAAAACACAACCCCCAAAAGCAGCTTAACCTTTCAAGAAGGACCAAGAGGGCTGGGTTCCCAGTGGGCTTGCTGCTCCTCTAGTGGGCAAGAAGTGGAGATCACCTCACAAAGCTTTGTGGTGTTTTGTTTTGTTTTGGTTTTGGGGTTTTGGTTTTGGTTTTTTGAGACAGTGTTTCTTTTTTTTTTTTTTTTAAATCTTTTTATGGTTTATTTAACTTTATTTTATGTGCATTGGTGTGAAGGTATAAGATCCCCTGGAACTGGATTTTCAGACAGTTGTGAGCTGCCATGTGGGTGCTGGGAATTGAACCTGGGTCCTCGGGAAGAGCAGTCAGTGCTCTTGACCGCTGAGCCATCTCTCCAGCCCTAGACAGACAGTGTTTCTTTGTAGCTTTGGGGTCTGTCCTGGAACTAGCTCTTGTAGACCAGGTTGGCCTCAAACTCACAGAGATCCACCTGCTTCTGCCTCCCGAGTGCTAGGATTAAAGGTGTGCGCCAGCTTCTTGTTTTGTTTTTAAGATAGGGTCTCACTGTGTAATCCTGGCTGGCCTGGAACTCACAGAAATCCACTTGCTTCTGCCTCCTGAGTAGTTGGATTAAAGACATGCCACCATGCAGTCGATGCTAAGGACTAAACCCTTGCTTTTCATGTCACATGGTGTCCCCAAATAGCAGCCAGCTCTCATGAGGCATTTTGGGTCTTCATGCAAACATGCATGAATTAGGTCCCATCACACCCATCATCAGAGGTTATGGCTTGGCACCACAGCTCCAGCAACCAGTCTTCTGGGAACTGCCCTTGCCCTGGCTCATCTCTCCCCAATAGACCCGAGATTCGATTCACTGAATAAGGAAATAAAACATATTTATTAAGCCAAAGGTGTACCAGCCACCCAGAACCTGGACGAGCGGTGTGAAGGGGATGACTGTGACCCCCACCCCCACGGCTCAGGGCAGCTGGCCCCAAAACTCCTACACCCAGCAGGCCAAGAGGGGCTGTACGCTTAAGCATAGGCCTGGTGCTCCTTCTCCACAAAGGCTTGGAAGAGGCCACTCAGCCCGTGGGGAGGCAGGGTCTGTTCACCAGTTAGTAGTTTTCTGAGAGCCTCCAGGCCCTCCAGCTCCAAACTCTGTTGCTTTTGCCGGACACGTTTTCCCTGATCCTGCCAGGAAAGGCAGAGGTGAGGAATGTGGACTCCCCCTCCTCCATGCAGGAGAAACCCGAGACTAGCTGAAGACCCCACCTGTCCCCAGCTCTGCCCTTTACCAGTCCAGACTATCTGGAAGGTATTTCCTACCTGCCCCTCCTCCATCAGCCCCAGGGCTGCCTGGTGTCCACGATAGAGCAAGTGCCTCCGATCCACCTGCGTCTGGAATCGGGGGAGGATCCGAACAGGGTCCTGGGCTCCAAAAGTGGGGGACAGCACCTGGGGGGCCTGGGCCACCCCTGTTTCAAAGATGAAAGGTTTGAATACTGACCTAATGAGACACAGATGGAAGGGCTGAAGTAGCAGCAGGGCACATGTCCTGCCATGTCCCCTGGCCAGTGTGTCCTCTTCATCCTCACCTGGATGGGTCTGGTGTGGCAGTGAGGAAATGGACACAGGGCTTTGTGGGATCCCGGGGCAGGACCGACACCATACTGGCGGTGGTGCGGAAGCCTCCAGAGTCCATGCAGATGCCACTTTCCTTGTTCCTGAGAATGTCCATCATCACCTCTGCCGTGATACTCCCTGCAAAGGAGAGTGTGAGAGACATTCCCAGCTAGGGTGCCGTGGCCCCCCTTGCCCACCACCCACAGACCTTGCCGTTGCTGCAGCAGCTCACGCCCAGCCCGGAAGCGGGCCTTGGCAGCTTCCATCCGCACAGGTTGCTGGGTCAGGGAGAAGACCTCTGCAAAGTCGAAGGTGCCCTGTCCAGTCCACCAACCCTGGGCCTTGGCGTGGCTTCGGAGCTCTGGGTGTTCTGCTGAGATGTCTGTGCCAATGCTCAGCTGGTTAGAAATGTTCCGGGCGCCTCCTGTGGAAGAAGAGGGGTTTATTCATCTAACATGGAGCACCCGCTGTATGCCAAATCCTGGGGGAGGTGCTTAGATTACGGTTTTAAGAAGCACAACCTGCCCTCAAGGGACCTACAGTGATGAGACAGATCAGTCAGAGCTAAGTCATAGGGAGGGACAAGATGTCAAAGTGTCAGTTGCTTGCATATGAGAGGTCCAGGAAGGCTCTGGAAAGGGCAGACTGAAGCATGGGAGCATCTGGCCAGGAAGAGTTCCTAAGTGGGTTCATTTCCAGTTTCCCAGGGTGTCACCGCCCAAGGCCGTCAGGGAGGACAAAAGTGGAAGCCTCCAGAAACGGAGGGCGGTACCTGGGGAGGTCTAGGCTCCCCCTCGGAGGCAGGCTCTACTCTAGACTCCTACCCTGGATCCGCTGAGCAGCCCACAGCTTCCCGGCTGTCTCCAGCACCCACGCCTCTGTCCGGTCAGCCAGTAGGAAGGTGTTGTGATAGCAGAAGGGCACAGGGTCCTCCCGGCAGCTGCCCCCCTGCCCATAGCGGTCCAGCAAGCCTGCAATCACGCGCACAGCTTCCTGGGCAGTACTGCTCCGCTCCAAAGCCAGCCTGTCGGAGAGGTCAGAGGACAGAGATGACCCAGAGAGGTTTGATGAGCAGCCCATGTGGCACGGCAAGCCCTGCAGCAACAATGGCATTCGGCACCCACCTGTGATCCCAACAAAGAGGTGGAGGCAGGAGGATCAGAAGTTCAATTCCAGACTCCTTGTATTTCAAAACAGACAAAAATATCAAAACAAAATGAAAAATCAGCCGGATGTGGCGGCAATACCTGTAACCCCAGATGTGGCGGCACACACCTGTAACCCCAGCACTTGGGAAGCAGAGGCCGGTGGATCTCTCTGCGTTCAGGGACAGCCCGGTCTACCCAGTAAATTCTAGGTCAGTCAGGGATACAATAGGAAGTCTCAAAAACCAAAACAAAACAAGCAAGAAAAAAAAAAAATGAAAAGCCACACGCCAGCGGTTTCCAAGCTTTAAAGTGAGAGTTCCACGGAAAGGTCTGGAACACCGTTTCCAAGGAAGAACTGCCCAAACTCCTCCTCAGTCTGAGCTGCCCCACCTTTATCAGTTTCTATGAATCAGAACTCTATGAGAGATTTCAGTTAACAAAAATAGTACTGAAAAAAATATTAAATCACTCTGGGCCAAAGGAGGCTCTTTATCAGGCTTGGTGGCCCAGGCCTTTAATCCTGCACTTGGGAGACCAAAGCAGGATCTCTGAGGTCAAGGTCAGCCTGGTCTACAGAGAAAGTGCCAGGACAGACAGGGCTGTTACACAGAGAAACCCTGTCTTGAAAAATCAAATAAGAAGAAAGAAGGAGAATGAGGAGGAAGAAAGAAAGAAAGAAAGGAAGGAAGGAAGGAAGGAAGGAAGGAAGGAAGGAAGGAAGGAAGGAAGGGAAAGAAAGAAAGAAAGAAAGAAAGAAAGAAAGAAAGAAAGAAAGAAAGAAAGAAAGGTGCACACAGCTTCTTAGAGAGGCCACAGGACGAGGTTAACAGAGATGCAAGCCCAATGAACCCGAGTGTTAGGGGAGAGAGTGGGCATGAAGAACGGGTCTGTACCTGAGTAGATCCATACCCAGAAGGGCTTCCCCCTCCCCAACAGGCTCTTTGGTCCACACTGCTTCGTTGCCAATGCAGACCCCGTGTTCGTTGGCTCCCATCTCAGCCCCCCACAGCCAAGAAGGGCGGCTCAGAATCACAGCATGTGTCTTCAACACCTGTTCCACCTCGATGTAGGTGCACTGGAGGTAAAGAAGAGAAGAACTCACAGAAAGAAAAAAAAAATCTAGAACCTGCATTGCCCTGGCACTCTGTCGACCACTTTATATAATGGCCTTAAGAAAGGTCTTGTGCTCAGGTCACACATGAGTAAACTGAGTTAGCAGAGGCTAACTAGACTCAAGGTTCAGGTTGGTGGACTTGAAGTCCATACTCTTTTCTGCCAATGTCCCAGGTACACGAAAAGGAAGGTCTTGGAACAAGGTCTAAACCTCCCAGCTCCTTTTAAGTCCTAACCCACCTGGAGCCGGCTCCCAGGGGTGTGAGTGCCTGCGGGTATAAACACCACCTCCTGCACCTCATCTCGGGGGCGGTCCGAGTTCTTTGCAAAGATCACAGCTGGAATGGCAGAGGCAGGGGGCACAGAGACAAAGCAGTCGCAGGAACAAGGGGCGTCAGGGCTCGACCAGGCCATCTGCGAAGAGGCGGGAATGATTATGCCCCTCCAACGCCACCTCTCCACAATCCTGGCCACCGGTGGGGCACAGAATCCGTGCCAGTCGCTCCGGGACAACAGCACTGTGTGCACACTCAGAGCACGCTGTGCACTAACTGTGCACTCGGCTTAGAGTCAGCAGACAACGCAGACTCTGCAAGCTAGGACCGTCCCGCTTGGAAACCTAGCCCTTCCAGGCACTTTAAGGCACTGTAAGAATCCCACGCTCCTGCGCATGCCCACATTAGCGCTCCTCTTCCGTACAACCCCTTCCAAATCTTCAGTACCTCCACCTCTCACCCGTTCTGCTTTCAAGACCCTCAAACTCGGTTCCGGGAACCACCGCCTCCGCTTCGGGTCAAAACTGCTCCTCTGGACCCAGGTTCCCCGGTGACCTGGAAGGCCTTTGTCCCCGGAGGCGGGGCCGAAACCGAACACCTGCAATCCCAACGTTTCCCACGAGGGTGCGCGCTAGCTAGCACTACTTCTTGGAACTAAGTGGCCTTCCTAATCCTGCCTGGGTGTCCAGGACTTCCCATTCAGTCTTATCAGAGAGAGTCACTATTAGGAGGTGGAGCTGAAGGAGAAAAGAAGGCTGAGTGAAAAGAGAGTATTCATAAAATAGCCAACGCTACTGGGGATTCTGGAAATGAAGGGAGAACTTTAGCTGCCTGCATCCTGACTTGAATTCCCAAGACTCAATCCCAGTAAAATGCACAGCACAAGACAGGATGCCTAGGAATATCTTAGGTTACTGGAGCATTAATTTTACCAATTTTTTTAAAAAATTATTTTTAGGGGCTGAGAGATGGCTCAGAGGTTAAGAGCATTGCCTGCTCTTCCAAAGGTCCTGAGTTCAATTTCCAGCAACCACATGGTGGCTCATAACCATCTGTAATGAGATCTGGTGCCCTCTTCTGGCCTGCAGGCATACACGCAGACAGAATACTGTATACTTAATAAATAAATAAATAAATAAATAAATAAATAAATAAATAAATAAATAAAAAATTATTTTTAGAGGCTAGAGAGATAACTCAGCACTTAAGGGCACTGGCTGCTCTTGCAGAGGCCCTGGGTTTGATTTCCAGCACCCACACCGTGGTTCATAGCTGTCTGTAATTCCACTTTGACAAACATCCTTACACACAGCACTTTTAGTTTTGTAATTGTGGTGTGTGTGTGTGTGTGTGTGTGTGTGTGTGTGTGTGTGTGTGGATTATGTGTACGGGAGGGCACGCGCCCGAGGAAGCCAGAAAAGACTGTTCTCTCCCTCTTGAAACTGGAATCTCAGGGGGTTGTGCGCCACCTGGCATGGGTGGTGGGAACCAAACTCAGGTTCAGAACGCACTCATTTATTTTCAGTTCTAGATGTCTGCCTCAGGAGCGGCCCACCTTGTTGCCGTTGTCTTTAATATATTTTACTGTTCGACTTTGGGAGACTATTTGTGTGTGTCCACGTGTGCAG